CTCTTGGAGGAGTGCAATGTGAGTGCCCTGGAGAAATACACTCTCCACAGCACCTCAAATACATCATATTTGTAAACTTTCAACATTGCTGAGATTTGTTATTATTCATCTTGTCACAAATCCCTCACAAGCAGGAACCATCTCTCTTTTCTGGCCCCTGAAACATAGTAGGCATTTGGAATAGGTGTTGTTAGCTCTTAATTCCCGAGTCTTATCATCATGGCTCCAGAGGTGCAAGATAATGGAGCCTTGATATGGAAATATGTGACCTCTTTATTCCATTCCCCAGGTCACATCAGGAGCTCCCTCCTCCTTTCTTCCTCTGTGGACTCACAAGCTAATAAGCAGATCCTACCTGGGAGTGGTTCCCTCCAGAGAATACTGAAACCTGCTTGGATTTGCTGACTGGTGACATCAGCTCTTCTTACCTGGGTCTCAGTCCCACAAACTTAATAGACACAGTCTTGCGGTTTCAAGGCCCTAAGGCCTATTTTGCTTCTGTTCTCCCCTCTCTAGAAGTTGGTAGGAAATACCCCCATCAACTTCCCCTTTCTCTTTTTGCTTCTCTAAGTGTTCTCTAAACAATATTGTTGAACTGATGAATGAGTAAATCAAAATTTTGCCTCACAAATGAAGAGAACTTTTATGGTGAACTGGGGTTATTTGAATGCTACTGCTCTCAGAGGGAACAGAGAACAGAGAAAATTCCTTTTTCTCAACTGTTCTTTCCTCTGAGACTTTCAGAGATGCATTGTAGCTGAATGCAGGGTTTGCCTCTAGTACAAAACCCCAGCTTACTACATTTTTTTCTTTTTTTTTAAAATTTCATTTTATTTTTTCAGTGTTCCAAGAGTCATTGTTTATGCACCACACCCAGTGCTCCATGCAATATGTGCCCTCCTTAATACCTACCACCAGGCTCACCATTTTTTTTCTTTTTTATGGAGAGTAAGTATCCCTGTGTGTATGACTACTATTAAGAAATTTGAATAATGTCTGCCTATGGACCAAACTGCTTTTCCTTTAGCCTATGGAGCTCCTGCTTTTCTCTTGTGGATGATACTGTTTTCTGTTCCAGGCACCTATCCTAAACAGAGAAAAATCAAGGGGATAACAGGCCCAGCGTGTTGGATGTTGACTGAAACTACAGAACTCCCCTATTTGTCTCTCTTAGGCCTAAATGTCAAAATCTTGTTTCTTTATCTCTAATTCTGTTTTACGTATAAGATTTTCTTTCTTTCTTTCTTTCTTAAGATTTTATTCATTTGAGAGAGAGAGAGAGAGAGAGAGAAAGTGCACAAGCAGGGGTGGGGAGAAGCAGAGGGAGAGGGAGAAGCAGACTCCCTGCTGAGCAGGGAGCCCAATGCAGGACTTGATCCCAGGATCTGGTGATCATGATCTGAGCTGAAGGCAGATGCTCAACCATCTGAGCACCCCGGGCACCTCTGCCTTTAAGATTTACTTTCATTTGATCTTATGCCTCTCACATGTTAAATGCTCTGAGTAGAATTTAAAAATCCTAACTGCAAAAAAAAAAAAAAAAAAAAAAAGGATGATTAAAAACCTGTTGGGCTGTCTACATTGTGTATGTTTCATTGATGTGGTACTTCAGTGACAGTCTGTTGGAGAGTTCAGGGCAGAGCAGGTTTCCTCTAAGCCACTTTTTCCTTTTTGGTGATGATATTACATGGGCATTTTGCTGATATAAAGGAGGACCTGAGTCAGGGACATCTTCCTAAAACTGGTTATGGTTGGGATCATTATATTTGTAAAATCCTTCTCTGGGCATTACTGGACAAAGGCTACGGAAATCTTGGAAAGTCAAAGAAAGTGAGACTGACTCTTGAAATTCTCTAACTTGCCCAGTTGATTGAAATCAACTCTTTATTTCTCCCACATCTCACCTTCAAATCTCTCCTCTCTCTATGCTCTTTGTACAGATTCTCTCCCTCTGTTCTTTCGGAAATGGTAGGGGTTGGAGGAGGATATCTGTCCTGGGCCTTGTAGGAATCAAGATTAGGTTATGGGAGAGAGGAGGAAAAAGCATGTAAGAGAAAAGTCAACCCAGAAAACTGTCTAAGAATCAGGCATTTTAATTGGCACACAATTCAATTTTTTTGAATCAGTGGATTCAGGTGATAAAATAATTTCAGTGGAGATAAGATGTATATTTGCTTCTAAAACCTCTGTGTAGAATGTCACCAGAAGCAGGAGATTGATATCTGCATTCTGAAGGAATTTTTCACCAGGCCAAAACTTTGTGATGTGTGCTGGAGGTCATGGGGGATCACGATGGCTGGCATGTCTCCTGGATGTATCATCCCTGGGGAGACCAAGTTGGACTGGGGATCATGTTTCCAGGAACTTCAGAGGCCTGGCCTGAACTGCACTCACATATCTACTTAAACAAAGTGAAAAGATGTGCAGACAATTGTTAGAACTAAATGAAGGAACTTATGAATTACCTTTATGTGCTTAGTAATTAAGTAATAGAGAATACTAATTAGGAATTAATGATTCATACTGATGTGATGGTTTTTAAAATAAATGGAAATATTGCAGCAAGGTAGAATGGGTATGAGAAGAACCCAGGTTTGAATCCTCGACCCTGTTCCTTGTTAGTTGTATGGCCTTTAGACAAGTTCCTGAAATTTTTTGAAATGTATGTTCCTTATCTAGCAAACCGTTTTTTCACAGGGTCATTGCAAGAATTATAAGGATATCTAATAGGTGAAGATAATTGGTAATAATAATGATACCTGACACTTACACAGCACTCTCTTTGTGCCAGAGACTATTCAAAAAAAGTGTATATTCATTGAATTATATGCTCATTGAATCCTCAAAGAAAAGAAAAAGAATGAGTTAAGTACTATTATTGTGCCTCTTTAAGGAGTAACAAGATGCAAAAAGGTTAAATAACTTCCAGAAGTATAAAGGGCCTGGTCAGGCAGGCTAGGATTTAAACCCAGGAAGGCTGGTTTTAAACATAAATTATATTGTCTTACAATAGGGTATCAATCACAAGAACATTGTTTTGATAGGGGTCGATTAGAAAGAAGTTGAAACATGAGAACAAGGATGACTGGCATTTATGAAAGACAAAGAGCATGTGAGAATATAAATATTACTGGCAACCAGCTATAGTGTGGAGTCTGGTTGAAGAATTTTGGAGCAGACATTTTGTTTTGAGTTATCCCTGCTCCCTGGAAAATAACAAATTCTGCTAACGTGTATAATTTAAAACTAGGCTAGGAACTAGAAGGATAAAGTCCCTTTTCTCTTGAAGGCAAAAAGTTCCTTTCAAACATGTTTCATCCTTTTGACAATTTTATACAAACTTCCTGGTTAAATATTATATTCTTATTCATTAACAATCTTGTCTCTTATTTTCCTGACAATACATTCTTTTTACGGGCCCTAATTATTGTCCAGCTCCTGCATGTTTCATATCTGACCACAGCAGGTGAGATAAGACCTGTGCATTCCAGTGCTGCCCAGCGGGCTGCATTTCCTGTTCCATTCTCCTGTACTCACATAGCTTGTTCTCCTCCTGTACTACTTGGTTCCTTATGTGCATGGAGCTTCTGTCTCAGTTTTGATCTCTCCATAGAATCCACAGTATCATTCCCCATCTGAATTGTCTACACATTGTATAAACGAATCTCATACATGAGCCCAGCCCATTATACCTTATTTATAACTGTGTACACTTTCTGTTAATGATGCCATGAGGAAGCAGAAGAAATAGGCAAACCCAAGTTTTTCAAAAGAGCTATCTTTCTTTATGATGGACCCTCTCAACTCAACATTTTTTCCTCACTTGATATATTTTTCATAGACCATCTTGTCTACACAAAGGAAGGCTATCTCTGCACTATTACCCGATCTGCACTTCCAGCCCAGAGCTCTTCCAGAAACCCTCTGCCCACCTTGCTCACAAGGTATCTCCATTTGGATGTCTTTAGGAAACTCAGATTCAACCTGTGCAAAATCTAATTCATCATTTTCTATTCCTTCCTTCCTTCCTTCCCCAGCCGTGTGCCTTCTCCTATTCTCTTACCAGTCTAGGGAAATAGCATAACTATATATACCAAGTTGTCCAAGCTGGAACCTTGGAGTCATTCTTGCCTTCTTTTTTTTTTTTTTAAGATTTTATTTATTTATTTGACAGATAGAGATCACAAGTAGGCAGAGAGGCAGGCAGAGAGAGAGGAAGGGAAGCAGGCTCCGCACTGAGCAGAGAGCCCGATGCGGGGCTCGATCCCAGGACCCTGGGATCATGACCCAAGCTGAAGGCAGAGGCTTCTAACCCACTGAGCCACCCAGGCACCCCCATTCTTGACTTCTTTAACTCTCTTCTTTAAGTCTTCTTTAACTCTCATATCTAATTAATACCCAACTTCTGTTAATGCTACCTCCTGGACCTTCTGTTCATCCCCACTGCCCATCTAATTCAAGTCCCCATATTCTCACCTCATTCCTGAAATAACCTTCTATTCAGGCTACCACAGCCATGCCTTGCCACCCTTGTGACAGACAAAGGGCTAATAACAATATATGAAGGATTATTACGAACCACTTAGAAAAAGACCAAAAGCCAATAGAAAAATGAATAAAAGGTATGAAAGAAAAAGGCAAGAACCAATAATCCACAGAAAGTTGAGATTATCTCACAAAGGGAGTATTAAAATAAATTTAAAATAAAACAAGTTACCACTTTTGCTCTATAAGAGGCCCAAAGTTTAAAGACACAGTGTTTGCAAAAATGTAAGTACATAGGTATCAGTGTCCATATATTTGGTGGGAATGTAAATGGGTGCAACTTCTTTGAAGGACAGTTGGTAATTCCAAGCAATAAATGTACACACCCTCTAAGAGGATGGATCTTTAATTGTATTTTCTTTGACATAACTATTTTTTTTTATCGTGTGCATAGATTGCTTTCTCAATAAGAAATGTGTTAAAAGACTTGTGCGTGAGGCGAGTGGAGACAGAGTCGAGACCAGAGGCCGAACTCGGGATCTGACAGGATGGCCAGGCTGCCCCGCAGGATTATCAAGGAAACCCAGCGTTTGCTGGCAGAACCAGTTCCTGGCATTAAAGCAGAACCAGATGAGAGCAACGCCCGTTATTTTCATGTGGTCATTGCTGGCCCTCAGGATTCCCCCTTTGAGGGAGGGACTTTTAAGCTTGAACTATTCCTACCAGAAGAATACCCGATGGCAGCCCCTAAAGTATGTTTCATGACCAAAATTTATCATCCTAATGTAGACAAGTTGGGAAGAATATGTTTAGATATTTTGAAAGGTAAGTGTTACCTTTATTAATATATGCTATTAAGATTTCTCCTTTTTCTCTTAAGCGTTTTATATTGAGAATCTGAACATTGCCTTATATAAAGACCACAAAGGTCTGTGGGAATGCAATGCAGTAGTTCTGGGGCTTTTGTTTCATGCTTGATCATTCTGGGCCTGTTGCCTTCATAGATAAGTGGTCCCCAGCACTGCAGATCCGCACAGTTCTGCTATCGATCCAGGCTTTGTTAAGTGCTCCCAATCCGGATGATCCGTTAGCAAACGATGTAGCAGAGCAGTGGAAGACCAATGAGGCCCAAGCCATAGAAACAGCTAGAGCATGGACTAGGCTATGTGCCATGAATAATATTTAAAATCGATCTGATCATCAAGTGTGCATCACTTATCCTGTTCTGCCAAGACTTCTTCCTTTTTTGTTTGCATTTAATGGACACAGTCTTAGAAACATTACAGAATAAAAGCCCAGATATCTTCAGTCCTTTGGTGATTAAATGCACATTAGCAAATCTATGTCTTGTCCTGATTCACTGTTGTAAAGCATGAGCAGAGGCTAGAAGTACCATCTGGATTGTTGTGAAATGTTTAAAAGCAGCGGCCCTTCTCTGCTTTTATTCATTTCCCCCATCATGGTTAAGCACTGTGAATGAAGGTAGTTGTCAGGGTTAGCTGCAGGGGTGTGGGTGTTTTTCTTTATTACTTTTTTGAGGGGGAGAGGTAGTTTTAATTTTATGGGCTCCTTTCCCCCTTTTTATGGTGATCTAATTGCATTGGTTAAAAGCAGCTAACCAGTTCTTTAGAATATGCTCTCTAGCCAAGTCTAACTTTATTTAGACACTGTAGACGGACAAGCTTGATTGTTTGAACCAAAATGGGAACATTAAACAAACATCACAGCCCTCACTAATAACATTATGACTTTGCTGTCAAGTGTAGAATCCTTCCTTCAAGAAAAAGCTTGTGACCATTTTGTATGGCTTGTCTGGAAACTTCTGTAAATCTTATGTTTTAGTAAAATATTTTTTGTTATTCTAAAAAAAAAAAAAAGAAATGTGTTAAAAAATTGACTTCTGTTGACAGGAAGACCCTCTCATTAGGCAGCAGCATGATGCCTCCTGTGTTCTAATCATGGCACAGCCCCCAGCAGCACCCCTGGGTTTCTACCTTCACATCACACATCCACACTGCATCTCCTCCGGAGCTCTGATGACATCTGCTTGGAGCAATCCACTCATTCATTCTTTTTCTTTCCTCCCACCTCCCCCTTATTTCAGAGATAATTCGAGAGGACTGATGGGGGTTCATACAGGTGCTCTAAAACTAAAGCTAATCAAAGTAATTTGTATTAATTTGCACAATTCATAGTATTACATTTTGATTATAAGAAACCATTTGAATTAAGCTTCTTTCAGGCTATTTTTATTATTTTTTAGAGATTTTATTTACTTACTTGACAGAGAGAGAGCACAAGCAGGAGGAGCTGCAGGCAGAGGAAGAGGGAGAAGCAGACTCCCTGCTGAGCAAGGAGCCCAATGCAGGACTGGATCCCAAGACCCTGAGATCATGACCTGAGCTGAAGGCAGATGCTTACTGGCTGAGCCACCCAAGCACCCCCAGGCTATTTTTAACTCATTTTCACTTGCTAGTACATACATATTGTAATAGGAGTGTTCCCAGAACATGGTGGAAGATTGTGAGAGGCCAGCCAGGATTTACAAGTAGTGGTGGACAAGGCACTCTTCAAATTGGGTTGAAAATTCCCTTCTGAGCATAAAAATTTAAAGAACCAAATTGATTAGTGAGACCAATAATCTGTAGCAAAAACAATCAGATTCCCTTTTAATATTTGATTAACACTTGAGTGATACCCCAAATCCAATCAAGGTGATCGGACTGTAATTTTAGAGCAGCAAGGGTTCTCCACATAGGACTAAAATTAAGAAAGCTTAAGCCTCATCAGCCAGAATGAGCGATTTTGGAAAACAGAATTACTGAGATTATGGAGTGGACGATAGCTGTAAGACTTGCACAGGGAGGTGGAAACCAAGTATTGGTCATGTGTCCCCAAGATGAAGCAGAACAGAAGGTTTTAACCAGCCAACAGTCAGTTCACTTGGAAATGTTTACCCTTATGGGGTATGTATCAGACGAAAGCCATTAAGGCTGTCTGGTCGGAGCCTGGCTCCCTGGGTCACTTTCCCAGGTTTACTTGGCCTCTCAGTTTCACCCACAGCCAGCGTCATTGCGCATCATTCCAGTCAGGAATGGGGGCTTCAGGGACTTTAGGAGCCATTTACTTTAACCTCTTCCCGGTATAGAAGTGCTCCTTGACTTCTCATCCCTTCTTACTTCAGACCCGAGGTCCAGGATTCATTTAAATAAACTTGTTCTACTGGTCCTTGAGTAAACTTGCCCTCCCGGCAGCCGTCCCACACTTTATTAGGAGAAACTCTTCGGGCCTCTTTTAAGGCTCCTGAAGGCCAAATCCACTTTTATGAGGTAAATGGTTAATGTTCTCACAACTTTATTTGGTCTTGACTGGGAGTGGGGGAGGGGGGAGGAAAACAATACAATGACTATTTTAATTTCTTTATTTATCAATAGTATCCAAAAAAAAAAAAAACAACAACAACAACAAAAAAGGATCAAGAGTTACAAAAACAAGTTAAATGCAATAAGGAAGCCTACTAATACAAATACATTTCACAAACACATAAGCAACGGAAACCTGTTCAAATGTGCTTCTGGAGATTTGATTATTTAAAAACTTATGTGTAAAGGAAAGACATTCAGATTTGTCTACATGGGCTTATAAGCAGGTGGAGGAGACCTGCTTTCCAAAAAACAGTGATGGAATCCAGAGTCATGGCATGTGAAAAGGTTTCCATGAACACTGAATCTTAACAGATGCTGTAATATGTTAATAAAATCACATACACACCGAGAAAGCCCTAGGAAGCTTGCAGTCTAAGACCCGTGCTTGTAGAGAGCTGGAGGAACTGAACCTGGTTTAATCCTATTTGCTCCATGCAAAGCTCTATGCAATGCTCCCCAAACTAGGCTACTTAGCAGCTTTCCATGAACGGTCATCAGATAGTGTGATTCTATGGTGCAGACAATAGTGGCCCTATTTACAGGAGGAATGCAGAGTTATTCTTGGCGATTCCATGTTGCAGGGTAGGGTAGTCTTAGATTGCAACCACTGTCCTGAATATAACTGGGAAGAAGACACTCTGGCTTCTTGCTTTAAACGAATTGGTACTCCTGCCCTCGCCCTCTGTCCAGGGGCTGGCAAAACTCAGTCAAGTTGTGCTGTTGGGAGTTCTTCGAGGTGACTGGACAGGAAGGTGCATTTCAGCGTGCACAAGTGGGGCTCAAAGAGACCTTTTAAATGAGATGTATATAAAAGCTCAGAATTCTAAACAAAATGGAATGCTGTCCTTTCAAAGGAGAATAAAGAAACTTTAGAAGGAATTCCACATTCAAGCACAACCTTCTCAGAGTCACCTGGGCAATGTGATCTACCCAATTTCCCTCTCATAGTCTGTAATCTACTTTCTGAAAATGAGCTCTCAAGTCAAGTGTTTAATCTTTGTTGTTCCAAGTGCATCTTATATATGGTAAATAGTGAGGTTAATAATCAGAGTCCAAAAGATAGGAATGATGGACTTCCTCCCAATCATGGTTTGAAGACTCCATTTCCATTCCCTCCTGCCTCCTTAAAATGTGAAATCATCTTTTGTCCTCATCTTGAAAGGGAAAGCTATTTCTGTTTCCAAGAAGGTTAAGAATGGAGCACAAAAGTGAGGGCAAAGTGGAAGCGTTCTCTTTCCCATTCTCTTCCTGGATAGACTTTGCCCGAGAGGGCTCTACCTCACAGCACAACCCGTACAGCCTCTGAGACAGAGGTCAGATTTGGTCATCTTGTTTTTAGCTGTCAGACCCTTTTGTTTTAACAGTAAAGCTTCATTTATCCTAAGGAGAAGGGAAATCATAGGAACCTGTACCCTTCTGGACCAATTATCAGAACCACAGAATTTATAATTTATCAGATTGAAAGGTTAATGCATTCCTACTTGTTCACTGAGGAAACTGAGGCTCCAAAATAGGAAGAGACTGGGCCAAAGTCCCCCTCCTAGCTAGTGGCAGATCAAAGAGCATATTGATAGGCTAAGCCTTGCTTGGCTGCACTTGTCTCCATCCTTTGGAACGCTGATTTGCATGAATGTATCAGAATAAAATGGAAACAAATTAGCTTTTTGGACCTTAAAAACTTTGTATGGAGACGCTTCCTATTCCCCTAGCTTCTGTCTGAGGCACCCACTGGCAGACAGCCGATCCACTAGAAGCCAGGGGGACAGAACTCTGGGCTGTGTCTAATATGTGGCAGGGTGGGTGGGTTCTGGGTTTTAGCGGTCCCTGCACCACAACGAACCGCAAACTCTCCCACCCCTGAAATGGTAGGACTACTGAAGAATAATTACAAAAGCTTAATTTCTAGTCAAGAAAATAAAATACTAAACAACAACAATAATATAATGATAATAACTGAAGAATGAAGTTAACTTGCCAACAAAAGTATTACAGAAAAATAGCACCTTTGGTAAAAAGTATTTTAAAAATTTGGTTCAGTCTTTAAGGGGCTCAAAGTGGACAAGTATCTGCATCATTTGCATGTACTCCCTCCACCAAACTCCCAAGTCTAAGGGACACCGGGTACCTGGAAGGATGGCTGCGTTATCTAGAGGCAGTGGTTGGGGCCGTGAGAAGCACAGATGCTGGAGATCTGTTAGGCTGATGGCGACAGAGAGGGCTGGATGCAGAATGCCTTCCTCTACACTGAGCCTCCAACCCCCCCGCACCCCCCGCTTCTCTGGGGCAGCCTGTAAAGTTCTGGCCAGCATTGCCTGCACTCCCCGTAGCGTGTTTACTGCCATGGCAGACTGGGGTTCAGATCTGGGTCCGCTCCTCTCCCAACCCTGATGCAGTTTCCTTACTTGTCTCCAGCCCCCGAGCACCATTTACAGTTTCTCTCAAAGCACTCCTAGAAATGAAGGCTATGGCCCTGCCCCTCCTAGCCATCCACCCCCATTTCCTTTATTGCAAAACAAATAGACAAAATAAAAACTCATCGCTATACAAGCAAATACTGGTGATTGGGCGATTGTAAGCAGACACTTGCATATACTGGACTCAGCGCGGAAGTGGAAGAGAAGGTTCCAGGCTCTGGACACCCTTCCTAGGTGCCTCCTCTTTAGATCTCTTTGGTGTTCATTTTCTTGGTCTTTTCAGCTGTTTCCTTTGAGAAGCAAGAGAAAATAAGCATTGTGAATTATAAAAAAAAGAATCACTAGCACCTATCTAGTCCTCAAGATTTTACACAGCATTGACAGAGACATGCTTCTGCTAAATTTTCGTTCTGTTACTCGTCTGTCTCTTCCGTGGATGAGAACAACCTGAGGGAAAAGATCATGTGTTCTTTTTGACATGGTCGCATAGGGGCTGTCATTAAGAGCTGAGCCCATTTGAATGCCTGTGAAACCACAGGTCAGACACTATTATCCCCATTTTAAAGATGAAGAAAAGGATGCTAAATGCAAGTGCTACAAGATGTGCCAAAATCCCCGTCCAGAGAGGGGTGAAGCACAACAGGCTCGGAGGCAGACGGTCTGAACTTCAGTCAGGGATGTACTCCTTTCTGGGGGACTTCGGGCAAATTATAAAAACTGTGCCTCAGTGTCTTCATCTACAAGACTGAGGGTAATAAAGGACCACCTCTTACAACATGTCACATTCCTCCAAAGAAGCCATTCTTACTTATGGCCAGTAAGCACATGAGAAAATGTTCAACATCATTGGTTGTTAGGGGAATACAAGTCAAAACTACAACGAGATGCCACTTCACACCCACTGGGCTGGCTAAAAGAGAACATAAGGGACAATGATAAATGCAGTGAGTTTGTGGAAAAACAGGAACACCGCTGGCGAGGACGTAAAATGGTACAGCCGCTTGGAAAACAGTCTGGCGGTTCCTCGAAAGATGAATCACAGAGTTACCATATGACCTGGCAATTGCACCCTACAGACCCAAGAGACCTGAAAATGTATGTCCACACAGAGACTTGAACAAGAATGTTCACCGCAGCACTATTCATCATAGCTGAAAAGGGGTAACAACCAAAATATTTGTCAGCTGGTGAACAGACCCACCAAATGTGGCTTATCCATACAATGGAATGTTATGTAGCCACGAAGAGGAGTGAAGTACTGACTGATGCTAAAACAAGGACAAGCCTTGAACACATTATGCTGGGTGAAGGAAGTCACACCCAAAACACCGCATAGTGTATGATTCTATTTGTCTGTCTATGTCCAGAATAGGCAAAGCTGTAGAGCTGGAATGTAGATGAGTAGCTGCCAGGGCCTGGGAGAAGAGAGAATGGGGAGTCGCTTCTAATGGACCTGGGGTTTCTTTCTGGGCTGATGAAAATGTTCCAGAAATAGTAGTGATGGTTGATCATCTAGTGAATATACTAAAAACCACTGGACTGTATATTTTAAAAGGGTGAATTTTATGGAATATAAATTATATCTCAATAAAAAACCAATTAGGAAATAAAAAACAATAGTGCCTGGCATCTAGCAGACACTGTTGGCTTCCCATCCGTAGCCCCTTTGGCGTTTCAGTACCGGCATGGCTTCTTCCTGCCAGCACCTGCACCTCTTTGCCTGAAACTTTCTCTGGCTGCTGGAGCCTGCTCTACCCACACACGCTGGCGGGCCAGAGATGCTCGGGAATTCATGCTGCTAGTGGTGGCCCTCGCCAACAGCGGCTGGGGAGTTTGTGGAGGAATATTCCTGCTCCCTACCCCCTCAGGCTCGGGAACTCTGGTCCCAGCCCTCCGCAGGAGGACTAAGTGCCACCCACCCACTGTGGTAACATGCCTGGATATACACTCTTTATTGCTTCCTTCCTTTCCTGGGCTTGCTTCCCAACTCCCCTTCGGGTGTCTCCTAGGATTGCTAAATCAACTATTTGTACTTGAGTCCTTGCCTTAGCGTCTACTTTCTGAGGGAACTCACATAAAAGGCATAAAAATGTGAGCTATTATAATTCACTCCCCACTGTCTCCTCTGATTATTTCCCCACCCCAGAGGAAAGGAATTCCTATTAAGTTCTTTTTTTCTTTTATGTGGTTGGACTTGTCTGGAGACTCAAGGCTGATGAAATATGGAAAAACAGAAGGCCAGGAGCTTCTGCTTTGGCTTAAAAAACTGACATGAAGATTCTACATTATCAGTGACAATAGTGACAAAATGTGTGTTAAAAACCACTAATATGAGCAATTATTATTTTTGAGCACTTAATATTAGTAATTATTTTCAAGTCAAATACTTCAATCACAACAGCAGTTCTTGCGACTCTTACATTCCATCAGAACTTAAGTCAGACAGAAGGCTTGTATACCAGACCCAGTCTGCAGACAGGTGACCTACGGCCCAATTTCCTTCGTTAACTACGCGGTAAGCCAGCAAGAAGATAGGCCCTTAGAGGCCGCATATCCATGTTTTCCCTCCAGCCCTTACCAAAATATGTCAGTGAATCCCTGTTCTGCCAAGAGCCTTTTTCCCAGGAAGGCCTTCAACTTAATGACACAGCACCTGAGCAGAATTTTTATTTATTATCTTCTCAAGTCTCCAGGAAGCAGAACCTCTAAGTACTCTGGCCTTGTCAATCCCAGGCTCTTTTCTTTTCTTTCTTTTTTTAAATTTTTTTTTAAGATTTTATTTATTTATTTGTCAGAGAGAGAGGAGCGAGAGTGAGCACAGGCAGAGGCAGAGGGAGAAGCAGGCTCCCTGCCAAGCAAGGAGCCCGATGCGGGACTCGATCCCAGGATACCGGTATCATGACCCGAGCTGAAGGCAGCTGCCCAACCAATTGAGCCACCCAGGCGTCCCCCCGGGCTGTTTTCTAACCAGCTTGGCATTTAACTGAAACCCTTTCCGCTGTGGTCCATGTTCACTAATTTCCTGTTCACTGCCCCCAAGGAGCTCCTAGTCTTTGGGTTTGGGCACCGCTGGTGATAGGAAACAGTAACACTGCTCATTTGCAAACCACTGCCAACCAATTGACAGATCACCATCTGCCTAATTCTTACCTATAAAGCAATTTACCAAATTGTAGCCTATATCTGCTGAGACCTGCTGGACCCTGGAGGGACTCCATCAGGGAACTATCTAGATCATGGTTTGATACTGTGGGTTTACCATTCAGGACTTACTGTATGGACCAGAGTGGCTCCTTGGTCTCCGGGAGCATCAGGCAATATCTGAATGGTGGAAGGGCCGAATGGCGGCAGCAGAACCCAATCGGCATGGAGGCGGCCACTCACCTGGTGCTTTTGGAGCTCCTGGACGTATCTGGTCACCTCTTCTTCTGTCTGGCTCTGGGCCGCCTTCTGATGCTTTCCTGTAAGAAGAAACAAAGCTCACTGCTGGGGACGCTGAGGGAAGCCAGTTCAGAATCCCACCAATAGCTACCTTTTAGGGTCTTGATTTCCTCTCCCATTAACCTATGGAAGGAAGGGTGAACTGCCTGCATTTCTGTGAATATGAGGAGTCCCAGCGTAACGGACACCTTCAGAGGAACACCGAACAAATCAACCTCCTTCACTTTCCCCTGGCCTCTGCACCTGGTGTCTTCTTCCTCCACTTCCGGGGCAGTCATGCTGGGGCGGGGCCGGCAGGGAAAGCTATGGGGAATTACCTGGGTCCTGACTCAGGATATCCTCCAGACCAGTGATTCTCAACCATTCCCACACCTGCAAAATGTCCTGTAGAACTTTTCAAGATACCATTGTTTAAATTCTACTTTTAGATTCTGGTTTAACTGTTGTTGGGCACCAGGATTTTATAAAGGCTCTAGGTGATTCTAATGTGCAGCCCGGGTTGATAAGTACTGTACCAAGCAATGTTCCCCAAATTTACAGGGTGGCTAAAATAAATAAATAGATAATAAATCATAGAATACATCCTAAAAATGTAGGTTCCCAACTACCCTTTTGTGGATTCTGATTCAGTAGGTTTGGGATGGACTCTACGTTTACTGAGCACAGTGTTTGCTGTGAGGAAACACCACTCCGCCATGCTTCTCGAGTCTGGCAGTTTGCCTCTGGTTCCCCCTGGTATCACATCTTGATGCCACCTTTTTCTTTGCCCCATTGGGATTTGTGGTCTAAGACCAGATTGCCTTTCGGGTACTGACTTTGGAATGCTGCCTCTGCAACGTGCTCTCAGATCCATGGCCCACACACCAAGAGAGGCTCACCTTGGGGCACCCCCATTTCCAGTACTGTTTATACCCATAGAGAGCCGTGAACCTGGGCCATTTGGAGAGGGAGGATGAGCTGTCCAGTGTGGCTGTGGAAATGGGCATTGTCCAATGGAGGCGATCATTTGAGTTTTGTCTGATGTGTGTGATGGGGCTTATTATCCAGATGGTCAAGCTTATTCTATATGACAGCTAGCTATTTAACAATTGCCTGTGTCCTGGAAATGGATGGCTACCCTTCCAAAACCAGACCAGGCGCAGTTAGGTGTTGAGAGCTACCGCAGGGGTTTTGGGAAGATAAGTGTAGGATGCTTCTTGATTGAGGCATGCTGGGTAGAGTTTTGAGACATTCTCTCTTGACTTCAATAGCTACAGTGTGTTTAGCCTGGCTACACTGACTTAGTTTTGACTTCCAGCAACTTCTAGGATTTCTAGTTTCTAAGCAGCCTCTTCCCACTCTTCCATTTGTCTCTGGAATTGTGTTGGCTTCTTGCCTTCCCACATGGAGAAGAGACTTGGTCCCGGGCAGTGACAGACTAGGGATCCCCTGGCAGGTCTGAGCTCACTTTGTACTGTTGCTGCTGCCTAGGCTTCTTATCTAGAACTACCTTTTCTGGGTCCTTGACCTCTCTCCCGGTTACCGTCTTTCCTGACCTTTCTGAATATGATCCCAAGACCAGCCTGTTCTTTTTTTGTCTCAGTTTTTTAAAGATATAATTTTAAATTCACCCCATCTGGTATAAATTTTGGGCTTGCTTCCTACCAACTGACCTTTCTTCTCAAACCCAGTGTGACTCTCCAGTCTAGAACTGGCTTCACCCTCACTCTCTTTCCTCTAATCTGAATGGTGCTTGTTTTTCCCTATGACCTGGCTCCCATTTAAGCATTTCTTTTGATCTTTGGCATCATTCCAACATGCCATGGAGTTTCTGCTCTGGTCCCTCAAACTCTCTGATGTCTCTATCTCCTCAACCCACCCTGACCATACTCAACTTTTTTTTCTTAGGGATTACCCAAGTCTGTTAATTCAAAGAAGGCCTGTAAACAGTTCTCCTTTTTCTGCTGGGTGTGGATGGCAAGGAGGAGACATTCTGTCTTCCAACCACATGAGTCTTTTACACAGAGGATTTCCTAAGCTGTCCTAAGGATTAAGTGGGTTAATATGTAAAGTGTGTAGAAGAGTGCCTGGCGCACAGCTCTCACTAAGTATTTGCTTTCATCATCATTATTATTACTATTTCTATCATGATTAGGCCAGTCTCATATCAACATTTGATTTTGCCCTGCATCTTAAGCCTCTCTGCTGCCACACCTCTGGAGCGAGTATTGAACATAATGCATCTGGCAGAAGTGCTTTGCCCTCAATGCTGCCCATGGGGTGTTCCGACACTACAACTGGAGTCTGTTCCTTGCTCCTAGTCCCTGCTAGGATGACTCTTCTCCGTCACCCCCACCCTGACTTCTCCTATGTTGAGTTCACAAAGGAAGCTCTCTCCCCACCATGCCTTCCTTCTGCCTGAGGGACAGCTCACCGTCACAGGTCATGGCTGTGCAGACCCAGTTTCCGCAGGCACAGACACAACGGTTACAGTCCACCTCGGTCTCTGCTCCATCTGCATAGGTCTCATCCTCCAGGGCACACTCTGTTGGGACCGGAAATAAGGGGCAATGGTTTAGGGTGAGGATGGAACAAGACATGCTGGCTACTCTCTATGCACTTTACCCCTCTCCCAGACAAGACCTGCTTCTGCTTATCCTTCAGAGGCAACATATCTGGATAAATGATGTCATCGATCCAAGGATTTTTGGATCAGCAAACATGCTCAGCATGTTGATGATGGGCTAGGGCCCAGTCTAAAATTGTGGGAGGGAATTTTCTTACCAAGCTCTGCAAAATTTCATCAAGTCTCTCTCTCTTGGCCCTCCCCAAAGGCCCCCATTCCCTACAGCTTCATATTTCTTAGGTGAAGCATACTCTTCTCTGGAGGATTGAAGGTCGGGTTGAGGCACTTGAGGAACTCTTGGAAGCTGAGTTTCCAGTCAGCATTTTCATCAGACAGTTCAATGAGAGCATCAACACAGAGTCCTCTGGAACAAAACACAGGAGAAATGTGTCAGCAAGACCTCAGCTTCACTCCCACAGAAAGGAACAAAACATCAGGATCACATACTCCTGGGGCTTCCAGAGGAGGCCAAGGGGGCAACTGTTAACTAAAGAACTTTCTGCACTGCCTTCCCACAAGCATCATCCATCCTGGCTCCTGTGAACATCCAACATTTATTTTGTTATACTTGTCAGATCATTCACACGGTTCAAATGTTCTGCCCAAGAAGACTAAAGTTTGCTGAAAGGTTTTGTCCACTTTGACTGACAAATGTTCTCACTGCCTATGCAGCACCTTCCATGAGCAACTGCCTTTCCCCGCAGTATTGGTCAGGTCAGCCAAACTAGGGAAGTCAAAACAGAAGGGAGATGAATAGATGACAGGAATGGAATGTGTGACGGAGTTCAAGTTGGCATCATCACCATCACTACTCTAGAAAGATAAACGTATGTTCAGAAAAGTTTTACGGAACTCCAGTTCCCTCATGCTCCCCTTGGCCTGGATTTGAGCCCTGGTTCAATCACTTCCTACCCAAATGGCCTTGAGCTAGCTCTTCAACTTTTCTGAGCCTGTTTTCTCATCTGTAAAACGAGGACAGGGAGCCCTCCTTCACTGGGATGTTAGGAAGATCAAACATTGAACTTGTAAAATATTATCTAATTTCAAGTTATCAAAATCTGAAGGATTTTCAGGTATTATACTATACGGTCATGGACTGCTAAGAAAGAATCATTCCAGAATCTGGGCTTCATGCTTTCGATTTCTTCTGAACAAAAGAGGTGCTATTCCTATTTTTAATTCTCGCTGATGTATTGGAACCACACTGGAAGTTTCTTAGGGGTTAATTTTGATTAATATTTACTCTGGTATAATGTCAGAAAAGGACAGGGACACGCTCTCATTTGTGACAATTAGGGTTCTTTATGTGAAATAGCACCGATTATCTTAAAGTCAGAACTAAAGCTATTTTAGACTTGCAGTTAAATAATACAGTAATGTAATTCCTTTAGAAAATTAACCATTAAAACATTATACACAACACTCAGGAACACTTTTGCTCTGATATGACCTTGATAATTTATTTTAAGATTACATTCTATAGTTTGCAAGTTCTGGCCAAAAACTAACTACTTGATCAGATACCAGGGGTGCTCAATATGTTAGTTCATAATGTTCAAAAATAGACCAGGACAGAATCCCTATTTTTGCTTTTTACTTTTCATTTGCCCTGGCGGCTCCTTGCAGGTAGGAAGGGGTTCAAATTCCCATTCCTATCCAACCTTTGCTTCATGGACCACCCCCTGAGCCCTCAACTCCACTCACCTAAGCAGTTTGTTGTTCTCCTGGTCTGCATACGTGGTGATGTTGATGGCAGTTTCATTCTGCTCCACAAATTTCAGTAATTCGCTGGAGTCCAAGCGAGAGTCACCATTATCGACGTTCTAGAAAGGGGAAGAAGAACTCTTTCAGGAACACTTTGTACAACTGTCTCCCATTCAGCTTGACCCATCTTTGGTTCATCCTGCTCATTCCAACCCTGCCCTGGCCTCAGAGCTCCAGCAACACAGGCTTGGAGATGTGAGACGGCACCTGCACCCTAAGATGAGAGAGTGGAGGTGTGCGGGCAGAGGCCACCAAGGGCCTTTCAAACCCAGACCCTGCTCAGAGCAGCAGCTGGGACACAGGCCTGTGTTTGCCCAAGCGGCCTGGGGTGCTTGAGGGCGCTTTGTGGCCTCATCCCTGACACTGTCCTACAGACATTCTCCAGGGAACATCTGGGTTCAAGCAGCCACCATACCCTGTCCTCAAACCTCAGTGGACATGTAACAACAACGTTCTGAATCAGAATCTGTGGCAGAGCCCAGGATGTGTGTTTCTAACCAGCTGCTTGGGAACAGCAATGCAGGTGACCCTCCGAGCTCACTCTGGGAGTCACAAGATCACTTTTTGCTGCTTGATGTCCCTGGCATGCTCTCACACCTAACATTCACACTGGTACCCCTAACCAAGCACATCAGTGAGAAGTCACAAGTAAAGGCCCTGAATTGATAACCTGCAGGCAGAGGTGGTGCAAACCCCTCCCCCCCACCCTTCTGCTGTGGGCTGGGGGCCCCACTGCAGATGTGTGCAAGGTCCTTCACCTACAGAGCACAGGCTTCCTCATGACCCAGCTGACATCCCATAAGCACAAGATGAGGGTAAAGTGAGCTCAGGTATTACCTCTCTTTGACAAGATGCTAAACCTAAACCATAACCATTTGGGACCATTAAACATGCTCAGGCCCCCACTGCAGGAGAAGGGTGTCGAGGTCAAGGTCTTATCAAATTCGAAGTTGATATCGCTGCTCTCCTGAATAGTTCCGGTGGGGGAAAATTGTTTTTGAAAAATTCTTTTTCCCTAGGCTGTCTTGTCCTGCTGCCTTGGGAAATACTCAGCATTCCCATGTTACTTTCAGGGTGGCTCCCCAGATGGTGTAAGGGCTTTTGGAAGAAAAGTCTGTCCAGGCTCCCAGGTAGAAGGGCCTCTCGTTCCATGGCTGTCATGTGTCACATACAGTCTACTCTAAGGTGGTAAATCTTTCCATAGTATGTATAATGCCAGGTATGTCTAAAACAAAGCATGCCAGCCCTTGCTTAATGCCTTTTCATCATTCTTGTCTCCATTCCCAGCAACAGGTCTCAGATGTTCTCTAGTCCCTATACATCCACCCTGAGGAAACCGCCATTCACCTTGTGAAGGCTTGATTAACTAATGAAGAGAAAGGAAATAAAGTTGGCCAGGGGTCATTCTTAGCAGTGCAGAACATTCTTGAATCCAAATGTTCCCAGTGCTGGACAGACAGAAGCAGCCCTCACAGACCCCAACAGAGTTCACAGCCTAATAAGAGTGAGCCTGATGAGGAGCTGCACAGCCATGGCTGCAGACCTGGGGCCATGTGACCCCTGGTGGCACCAGGAACCTGCCACTATGGCCCAGGCAGCTCTCAAAAGGCAGTGCTAAGTGCCCACACTACACGTTCAGCAGGGACAGAATCTAGGCCTGAAGCTGAGGGGAGAGCCAGCCAGCCTGCACCTCCCAGGCCAGCTCTGCATGTGGATCCAAAGGAAAACAGAGGTCTGGTACCTGCCCCAGAACTAACCTGGCCTGCGTGGGGGCCTGCCTCAGAGGCCATGATCTTGGACCATGACCCAACCTAATTTACTTGGCCTCTGTTCAGCCAAGCAGTGACAGAAGGCACAGTACCTCGTGTGCCTGCTCTCCCTGCTTTATGTATACTTGAGGTAGCACCCTTTCCTTCTGTGTAACTCCACGGTTCTAACAAGGCAAGAAGGTGTGTAATATAAAACCCATGTCTGGGGCTTATTGCCAAGTCTGGAGAACGTTCAGAGGATAGGCTAGGACAGGCACTTGCTCACACACAGCTGCTGTGGTGATGGGGGACACGATACCTGGGTAACGGAGGTAAGAAGTCTGGCTTCAGCTGTGGCCCTGGCCACCAGGAGTCCAGAGTGTCTCTATGACATGGGCCATGACCGGCTCTCTCTACCTGGGTCTGTTACACTTTTACTGGAGAAATCATAAATGAATCACTAGGTGAAGTGAGAGTCTGGTTTTGGTCTTAACCAAATTCTCATTAGATTTTCTTTTCAACTAATTTTGATGTTAGGAATACCAGCTGGGCTGGAGGGCAGTTCCTGGTTCAGAAACCGTTTCTGTGAGATATCCACTCTCTCACCAACAGGCAGTTATGTGCCTAGTGGAAGGCATGTCCCTTTGAAGACTGCACAACACAGGACTCTTATTAGATGGCTATTACCATCAAAAAGTAGATACTGAATCCCCTATTTTCTCAGAGGACGCTGCCAGAATATCTGGGAAAAGCAAGCCTTGTTGTGTGTGTCAGTCATGATCAAGCTTTTGTGGTCAGGAGCGAGAATGCCCTAGAGGAAGCTACTTTCTCAAGGGGTCTCCGAGGGAGCCTACTGGAGAAGTTACTGCCAGAGCAGGTGGAGAGGTATTGGGGGGAGGGGTATGGGACCCAGCTACTCGGGAATCAAATTAATAGCAGGTGCCATTGGTGGACACAAAAGGGCCACTAAGAAGGACTACAAGGTCCCAAGGGGAACTTTGGAAAGAGTGTTCTGGGTCTCCTAGGCTCTCGTGGCCATGGCCAAGTCACTGCATGCAACGACCTGGCAGGTGTTGCTCACTCAGCTTCTACAAAATCATTTCCCTCAAGTTACTTTCTGTTCCTGTGTAACTATCCTGTCTTTGCACAGTTATGTGTTTCTCTGGAGATGAGGAGCCACCCTCTGCTCCAAGGGCCTTGTAATGCTGGTGGATTGAGACAGAGGGTAGACTGAGAAGGGCTGGGCCCTCCCAGCCAGGTGTGATCTCAAACACTTGGAACCCAGAGAGACATACTTTCTGCCACGGGAGAGACAACTCACTGAAGAAACACAAGCAAAGTCTTAAATGACCAAATACGCAATCCAGTATTTCTCTATCTCTGGGGTCCATAAAGTCAGTTAGGAAGAGGAATCCCCAGACTAGGCTGGTTTTGACCACACGTGGTGGCCACAGAGCCGCTGAGAAATCGCTTATGTGCCTGGGGTTGCTTCTGAGTCCAGGCTGGTTATGGCCTTGGACAGCAGGCCCTGGAGACACGTGAGAACATGTCCATCTGACAGCATCTACCTAGAGATGTGTGCTTGTCAGTACAGGGGGCCTTTCTGCTTAGATGGCAGAGTGAGCATGTGAATGTGTGTCTGGGAGGAGGCTGTGTCTGTGTGGGGTGTGCATCTCTGTACGTGGGATATGTGTGTGTGTGGTGTGCATGCTTCTGCTTGTGGTATTTATCTCTGGGTGTGCTGTACATATGTGTGTGTCTGTGTTCTTGTCAATTAGCTGGAAGAGTATCTTTAACTGCTTCATTCACAATGTCTCAGGCTCTCTGAAAAATCTCCAAGCCATGGGAGCCCTACTCATCACTAACTACTAATTCTGACCCTTTTCAAGGAAGTATCTCTCCTTCCTCCCATTGGAACAACCTGTCTCTTCAACTAAGCGATGGGACAAGCAATATGTAGACTTCGCAAAGAATCCTGGACCCATGGAATGCTGGTCCGTGGACTCTTCTCAAATGCTGAGGAGCTCTACAGGCCAGGGACAATCAAGTTAATGACTTAAAGAAATGTCAAACTGGGTGGGAAACGCCTGGATCTGGGTGCGGTCAGAAATTATACTGTATCAACAGCGAGCTCTGCGAGGTAGAGGGTAGGGGATACATACAGGGTAGGGGGATAAAGCCTGGCCATATACATGAGCAGTAGATCCCAAAGCTTCTACTGCTGGAATCTCACTTATCAAACACATCAGAAAGCAACCATCATAGCTTCTTGGGATGATGGGAAGATGTGATCAGGCAATGCAAGAGGAAGTCTCCCCCTCTGTCTGGGGCTGATGAGTATTTGACCCCAACTCTGGATTACCTTAAAATACTTGTCTAGGATTTCACTGTAGTTGCTGCCTTTAGAGAACCAGCCATCTGGAATAATCTCTGCTTCCAGCCACTGGATGATGCGACGCCGGAGCTCATCACGGTTGGACTGATAGCAAACGACTGCAGGAAGGGGGAGGGAGGTCAGCTGAGCGGTGAGGACCCCAATGTCACCCAGCATCCACTACATGGGAGGTTCTGTGCTGGGGGCCCTGCATGCAACATTGCATTGAATTTTCATAGTGTTCCAGGGACACAGAATTATCACACATACTTTATAGAAGTCAACGCAGGGTAGACAACTGGGAAGTGACTTAACCAGGATTCAAGCTTATGTTTCTAAAACACTTAAAAGAACTGAGAATATTGAAAAAGACAGACTATGTTGCTTAGGTGAGAAAAACACCAGCAGAAAAATAAAGGACATTTTCATTAACTTTAGGAAGCTGAGGGGGGAAAATCAATCAATCAATAAACAGCTCTCTTGGCTCAAAGATGAGCTGAACTAATAAGAGAATGAAGGAGCACATTATAATTTTTCATGGCACCAGATCTTAAGTTCTCTATAGCTTTTTCCTCTTAACAACTGGGCTTATCAAAACTCTCCCACTTAAAATTTTACCCCTTATTCTAAACCACAGAAGACAAGGTCAAGAAAGGGCCATGCTGAAACTCTGCTCTGGACAGCTCTTGCAAGACATATGGCAATACCAGGTGCAGTTGGCAATACCAGTCGGGTAGATGGGGACAGGGGAGGGAGAGCCTCGGCAAGAGGAAATTCCTGGAAGACAATACACACTGGGATGTGCTAAAGGCCCTGAGCCAGGGGAACGGAAATCTGGGCTGCCACTTCCAAGCTGTGTAATGCAGGGAAATTCACTTAACCTGAGCCTCGATTTCATCATCTATGAGGTCATTACAATAAGGCATTACAATAAGGTCTGCCTCCCAAGATTACTGTAAAGATCTAAGGAAAAGCGTATGATAAAGGTCCTGTAACTATAATGATGAAATTTTAATTTCAATTCATAGAAAACCATGGAAAAACTCCTACTGGCATTTCCATTATCTCCTTTCAAAAAAAGTTATACCTACTGATTCTGTGCCTTCTGTGACATCAGCCTATGTTACAGAGCATCGAAGGAAAGATTCAGTGGCTTTCCTGTCCTTTTAATGCGGTCACTACTCAGCAAAAACTGAAAACACAGCCAACATTTGGACCCAACTAGCCACTTCAAACGTCAAGCACCACACACACACACACACACACACACACACACACACACACTAAAAGGCAGTTTTGCAGCTTTTCTGAGCTGTGTTGAGGAATGACCAGTTCTGGGTCACAAATTCTGACACACAGATCTTGTGAGCTTCAGCAGGGAATGTGAAACACAAAATTCCATCACAAAAAGAATTTCTTCCCTAAAGGCACCCTGGAGAAAAAACAGGCTCTCACCTGGGCTGGCAGATGGACTTACGGATTTCTTCTCTGCAAGACAAAAAGGAGAAAATGCATAAGGCCAAGTGAGGACCAAAGAACACATCTGTGTATCACTGGGATTAAAATCATCCCATGTTCAGGGGACCACTTAAAATCTTCATCATTTTGTCTTAGTTGCCTGTCTCCCTTCCTTCTTCTAGGGCCTAAGTATGGAGTTCTCTTCTCCCCTGCTTTATTTGACCTTTTTGGGCTACTAAGTTGCCCTCCTGGTCTCATTCCTCCTCCTTTCAGGTTGAGGGGTGGGGATGGGTTGCTGGGACTTTGAGAATTCCCATGGAATCATTATATAGAAGGTAGTGCAGTGGAGACCCACACGTGGAAACAATTTTTTGTTTCACCAGGGCAGTTCAAGGCTGGGAGGGGCTGAGTGGGGCTGCGGCTTGGCAGGATGCTGGTGTCTAATTAGCAATGAGTTTGGGACCCCCTCCCTCTTATCCTAATGGCAATGGTTTGAGTACAAAATAGAGGAAATATATATACCAGGGCAGAGAGGTGCCCAAATTTAAAAAGTGAAATTCAGGTTGCCTGGGTGGTTCAGTTGGTTAAACATCTGAGTCTTTGTTTTGGCTCAGGTTGTGATATCACAGTCATGAGATCGAGCCCTGGGTGGGGCTCTGAGCTCAGCATGAGGTCTGCTTGATCTTCTCTTTCTCCCTTTCGCTTTGCCCACACCCCACCGTACTCTCTCTCTAAAATAAATAAATCTTTAAAAAATAAATAAAAAGTGAAATTCGCCTGCTTTTTAAAAAGGCATAGAGTTCGTTTAAACACTTCCTTATTCTGTTGATTATTGATGTGGTTCCCTACCCACTGCAGACAGTACTGGACGCTCCCCTGAGAGGTTGATGTAGGAAACCCCACGCAAAGCCAGTATCCAGGGCAAAGCCAGCAGGCTCATGAGCACCAAGAGGATGCATCTCCAAGTAGCTGGGTGGTGTCCGTGACCCTAGTGGAAAGCAGTGTGGGACATCCCCTGGCTCCTCTGCTGGACCTGGGAGCTGGTGGTAACAGCACTCTTTACCTTTGCAGTGTCCATCGTAATCCACCTGGATTTTGGACCCAGTGAGGCAGGCGTCTCGATGCAGCTCACAGTGGTTGAGGTAGGTCTTGCCATTGCTGCCGCACACAGGCCTCTTGTGAGGTTTGCATTGCTGAAATAGACCCGAGGAAGAGGTCTGTGCACTCAGGGTGCCAACCCATGCATGCAAGCACGCACATGCACACACGTGCAGCCTGTGGGTACACCCTGGTAGGGAGCCTCAGCTCTGGCCATCAGTGACTCTATCCCGCTCAGAGTTGGAGGCACCCACCCCCTCACTCTGCAGCCCTGCATAGTCCCCCATGCTGATGCCCGTTCACGGCCATCTCCTCTATTCAGTGAAGGAATGGACAACCCTGACCCTTTCAAATCAGCAGGAAGGGCATTTTATTAGAAGCCAGGAATCTGGACACTCTGCTTCTTTGGGGAAAGTCACTCGATGTCTTTGGATGATCTCAGATCCCTTAAAACACCAACATTCTATGATGCAAGATCCAGAGCTGAGAGTGGGGGATGTGGAAACTGACAGGCAGATGCACAGACAGGCACGTGTGCGCACACACACACACACACACATACACACACACCCCGATGCTTCAATTCTTCGGGGGTTTAACTAGAAGGATCTTTGCTCTCTTGCTTTGTGTAGTATTTCGGGGCCATTTTGTTTTCCTCTTGATCTTGCAAAGGCTGTTGTGAGGCAAGGCTGGGGACGCTGGGTCTCTGTGAAGTACTGCAGAAAATCGTTATGGACAGGGAAATGGACTCAAGTTCACTTGGCAACTCGGCTCTACATTGGCTATTTAAAGGGCCACGGTCACAGGCAAGCTCTGTTTCTTTAGAATTTTGTGGATTTTGAAAGGTGGTACGGGACAAGCAAGTTCAGCTCAGCCTTACTAATGAAGGCACCAAAGCCAGAAAGAGCAGATGCGGGAAGAAGAAACACAGAACACTGGAGCTGGAAGGCAGCCCTGCTTCTCCAACTTTAGATAAAAATACCAAAGTCTGGGACGACAAACTATTTAACCAATATTTATTAGGGAGTTCTTACTAAATATTCTACATGCTGAGCAAACACGGTCTCTGTTTTCGCAGCATCCAGCGGCAACTAACACAGATGTATGTAGTTAAGGCGAGACTAGAAATCAGGTTTCCTTACTCTAAGTACAGGATCACATCACCACACCGTGGCCAGCTACATTCTGGGGAGGGCCTCCTAGGGTTCCCAGTGGATCTGGCTATCACATTTCTAAGTTGGGGGACTTCCTTTCTGAGACAATGAATCTGATTCTTCACCTGGGGACTACATTAGGTGTATTTATTTGCAGAAAGGCAGATATATTTCTAGGCTCGTGTTGGTTTGACAGAAAGGGGAAGGATGGGATTTATGTTTGTCTGAAGAGTGAGAACTTGTCAGCATCCTGCTTACAAAAGAAGTAGTCCTCAAAAGCTCACATTGCTTTTTAAACCTTATTAAAAGCAAATAAATGAAAACCCCTAAAAAAAAAAAACCCTTCATTTCATCTAGTAGTTTTCTAAAAATGTGTATATCCTTTGACTTGGCAAGCCCTAGTAGGACTCAATCCTATAGAAATAAAGGCTGGAGCATGTAAGGGTATTTGCACAAGGGTGTTATTGTTTCCAGTGGCAAACAACTCAGGAAACAACCTAATATCCACCTGTGGGAAAACTATTGCATAAATATGCCATTACAAAATATTTATTCTGATCCCATTTTTTTATAAAATGGGGGGGACCCTGTATGTTTATAGGGGCATAGAAAAGCAAGTGGGATAATATATACTAAACTGTGAACACTGGTCATCTCAGACTAATTGGATTTGAAGGTTATTGGGAAGATGATTAATTTTATGTTTATACAAATGTCTGTATTACTTGACTTATATATAAAGCATTATTAAAATTTTTACTTAAAAATCTTATAAAACTAAACATCTTTTAAAAAAAGAAAGAATATCCCTGCATTTACATCTGGTTTTGAACTTCTGGGACCAAAATCCCTTGTCCTTCAGATAGACACGGTATGTTTTTATAAAGGTGATGAAGTTGTTGGCTCTGCCATGCTGACTAGTGGCTCCAGCAAGGTCACCATTTGACCTTGGCTATTGTCCTCTGGCTCCTGAGCTCAGGACTTACCTCAATGCAGAGGCAGGTGGGCTCTCCCTTCTCTGTGACTGCACATTCCCGGCCGGCTCCACAAAACACATTGGCACAGATCTTGGATTTGCTCCTTAGTTCTTCCTGAAACACAAAATCATAAAGGAAACCATGTCACGGAGATGAGACTGTCAGGGTGTAAGCCAGTGGTTATGGCAGTTACTTTCCATACTTAGGTCATGGTCTGGAGTTGCAGCTCAGGGTTGTTGGAGGGTCCTGAAAAGTCATCCCCAAGAGCCAGCCCCAGACTTGCTGGCACTGCTCCAGCCTAGGACCAGCTACATCGAAGTCCTTCAGATTGTTTCTCAAAGAGCAAGAGATGCTTTCTTACATGCTTCCTTTCTTTTAGAAATGGTTACTGAACACCCCTTCTATGTGAACACTACAGTAAAGAGCCATAAAGGCAGTCTCTGTCCTCAGAAGCTCCATGGCTCCCTGAGGAAGCTCCCAAACAGAGACTTAGAAACATGGAGATGCAGGACCAGGAACATTAGGAGTCAGAGGGCAGAAGGAGGGCAAGAATCAAATAAGACTTTCTGAAGAGAGGATGCCTTAACTAATTCCTAAAGGATGAGAAGAGTAAACTAGACAGAAATAGAGACATGTGAGAGAAATACGGCTATCTGAAGGACCAAAATCTCACTGAGTAGTGTTCAAGGTCATATCATTTCAAAAGGCATAAGAAAGATAGCTAAACCATTGGGAACGTGGATTTGCTATTATTTAGTATGGTCTTATTCAGCCCCTGTCCATATCTGCCTCTGGCTTCAAGACCAAGAGGGCCAACCCTGCTGACAGACAGAATTATCCTCAAACCACTTGTGGTCACACATTCCTATTCAGACATGCTCAGCAGAACCTGCAGGCAGGGAATGGTCCCAGTCTACACCACTGAAAATGAGAGTGTCTGTAGGCACTAATCTGTTGGTGACACATTCCTTCTCTCACATTAATTGGTGGCTAAAAAGCAGCCCCACCTCATTTGCCACACAGGCCAGCAGCAGTGGTGGTTGAACAAAGGAGAATGTGATTCCTCCAGCCTCTGTCTGACTGCTGAGCAGGCAGTCACCACAGGCCTCCCGCCCCGCCCTGGGGTAGCAATGACTGTAACAAAACCAACAAACATGGCAGGAGCTGAGGGAGGTGTCAGTAAAGGCAGAGGAGGAACCTCAGATTCCACCCTTCTAACCATGCAACTCACACTCACAAAGCTCGTAATACTAAAATTCTTGTGGTCGGTAAATGTTTCATATCTGAGAAGAGGTCAAAGAAAACAAAAAACAAAGTAGATATTGAGAGCTGAGGGCTGTGCCCAATACAGCTGGTCTGCTGCCACCTGGAGGCTGCTTTGCAAACTCCAGGTTATTATTGTCTCCCCTCAGCCATCTTGCCTGTCTTGCAGGGATCCCATTGGTCCAGAAACTCGCGCCATGCTCATATTTCATTGGTTCATAGGCTGTTGCTAAACCCATTCTTTTTTGGATGTTGCTAAGGGGAATTCAATAAAGCTGGCAAGCAGGGAAGAAAAGAGGAAGTAATTCCCAGACTGCTGGGATGACTGGAGAGCTGTTGTTTCCTAAACCAGGAGTGGAGATAAAATCAAGCATATACTCCGGGCAGGCCCTAACTGTGCCTGGGAAGGGAAAGCAGCTCTAAAAAAGGAAGAGGAAAAGGTTATCGCTGACCAGTGTAAAAAATCTCAGATAAGACCACCTTCTCCCTCCTTCATGAAACAACACTCTAACCAAGAGATACAGACAAATAAATTCATAAAAAGGCATGCCCTGACATAGGCCTGCACTCAAAAGACACCAGTATCCAGCTCCACGGGCAGACCTTTTACACTCGGCTGTACGTCTGTAACTAGTCGCTTTAATTCTTTGAACCTCAGTTTCCTCATCTGTAAAATAGGGGTAAATACTAGCCCTGCCTTGCGAAGATGAAACAGTGTATTTGGAAGGTCATCATAAACTGAAAAGCAAGCAGCTTCCTGCAGAATAGCCAGCAGCACGCGCAGAGCTCCTTTTACCTTCTGTTGCTGCTTTTAGTGAATATTAAAGAGAAACGCTTTTCCTTCCAAGTTGAATTCAACCTAAGTCATTTTTTTCAGAAAGAGTTCTCCAAAATCATTTGAAGAAACCGATACTCTCTATTTAAAATATAAAGCCGCACATTTGAACAGTCCAGTTCAAATTTACAAACTGTTTTCACACATACGATTTCATCTCACTGAATGAACAACCCTGCAAGAACATGTCTATTATTAACCTCATTTTATAGGAGAGGGAACTGAAGATCAGAATGGTCAAGTGACTTGCCCAGAGGTCCCAGAGCTATAACTGAAAGGAGGCAGGATTCCAACGTGGAACTTTAGACAACAGATGAGTAAGTTCCCATTCACCAATACCTGGCACTTTGCAGGCTGATTTGGATTACACGTTATCTCATTTAAGCCCTAGGATAACACCAAGAGTTAGATATCATAAGGTTCCCCATTTCATAGATGAGGGAACTGAGCCTTAGAGGTTAAATAACTAGAACATGACAGAGCTGAACTCCTACCCAACCAAAGGGAAAGCAGTTCTTTTCTATTTGATTGACATTCATAGCTAGAAAATTTAAGGTTAAGGAGATTGTGATAACGATGTGACTTACATAATTAGCAAATGTGAAAAAGCACTTACAGGTGCGTCAGAGAGCTAGATTTGAATTCCCACGTCCCACCTCTGCTCCTTCCTTGCCACAGCCATGGGCAAGGTACTTCCTTTAGACCTCAGTTTCCTCACTTGTGAAATGGGACCTCTCATCCCCGCGAGGGGTGTGTGAGCAGTAAAGGACAGATACTGCCTGCAGTAGCGTGCCTGCCACATAGCTGAGAGCTACCATGGTTACTGACTCTCAGACAATTTCCCTGCTGAGTGCTGTTCCCACCTTGGCTGCCATGTCCCCCACCCAGCTGCGGTTACCCTGAAATGATAATACTGAGAGCGGGAGGACTGACTGAATGGAAAAAACCAAGGGCTAACCATCCGCCTCCTTGCCCGGTTAAGACCAGAGAGAAAGATCCCCCCCCCCACCACGTGCTAGTCACACAGGCATTCCTCTTTGCAGGTGGCACATCTGTCAATAGGTGGCAATCTCCCTCTTTGTGTTGCAGAACCCGCCGCCGCAATGCAGAGATGCGGCCTTGGCTCCTGCAGCTCCAGCCTCCCAGCCGGGGAGCTCTGGGGCAGGAGGTGGGAGAGCGGGGTGGGGCGAGCACCCTACAGCCACAGGCAGCAGGTACAAAGACTGCCGACTTGGGAAAGAAGGTTCTACCTGAAGCCTTTCATCCTCCCCAGTTCTTCCCATTCACAGGCATGCTTCCATGCAGAAAACAACAATGAAAATTTTCTACCTAGAGGGGGCCTCTTTGTACCATAGAAAGCCCTTCAAGTCCTCTCTTCTGGGGGAAGAGGTTTTCAGGAGCACCCCTGAGGCTCCCAGAAAGTCCATTAGCATGGTGGGTGGCCCTACCCCTCTGCTAAGCAGAGGGGAAGAGCATCTTGAGAGGAGATACATATGGCATAAACAGGCTCCCAGGACAGGGCAATCGATGGCTCTTTTGGGGAGACGTGGTGGGGTGAGAGACCCAGAAATGAGGCAGGGCAGCAGGTGACAGGGAGAATGTGGTGCTTAGGAATATTAATTTGTGTCTGGTCCCTTCCACCTCAGAAATTCTGACTCAAAGTACAGGGAAGCCTCGATGGAGAGAGGCTGGAGGCAGGGGAACCTGCCAGGTGAAAGGTCGTGATCTAGTGGGGGTGACAAGGGCCTAAGGTCCAATGCTAATATTAATTAGAGCACCAACAATTGAGTGAGACTCTTCATAGTGATCTCTGTCCTCACAACGCCTGTACAAGTTTCCATATCTTTAGTCCCATCTAACAGATGGGGAGGAATTCAAGAGTCAGAAAAGCTCTGTGATATACAGAGGCCACATAATGAGGGAGAGCTGAGTCAGGACCGGAAGACAGGTCGGCCTGACTCCGGAACCTCAGGGACGAGTCAAGGAAGGGAGCTGTGAGCAGAGGGGACAGCTATAAGGGCTGGCACAGTGAGAGGCCACAGAGCACAAGGCAGTTCCTTTAGGAATTAGGTCCCAAGGCTATATGAGAATTTCATCTATGACTAGATAACCACATTGGTATATGAATTTGCTCTAGGAATGGGGCTGGGGAGGGGGGCATGTTCTGAAAGTGTGGACACTGATATGTTGATAAAAGTCAACAGAATACTTGTTCCAAGTGGAGAAACATTGGATTTCTAGCTTTGACGTTCTGCATCATCGCCCTGACCTGCTTCTGTGTAGTACCCTTGGTGAAAGACTGACTGGGAACATTGCTAACTTTCACTAGGTGAAAACCTTGCTCTCTGAGCAACTGTTAGCCATTGCATGACAATAATACTTTATACTAGCACAGCAATTTCAACTAGTCTGTAATTTTCACTATCATTTTTAATTCTCAAAACCCTTTAGGATAGGCGGGCAGGGATTACCTCTAAGGCATTTCCAGACTCAAAATCAATGATGAAGAAGAAACTGAGGCTCGGGGCTACCTGTGACTCGTCCAAGCCCTCACAGTTGCAGAGCTGGGTCCTGGCCCAAGGTCTCCAGACTTTAATTCCAGCCCTCTTTCCACAAACCACTTTGCCTCCTTACAAATCAAAGCTAGAAAAGGTGTTGCTGGGGGTTCAAGGTCTAAAAAAACAAATTAGTTTTGCAATTAAAAAAGATCCTTTGCAAACAAAGTCCAAAGCAACTTATTTGCAAAACCGCCAGAAAAGGTGATGGTGCGTCTGAGTCGCCGGGCTGACCAGCATTACATCCGAACGTAAACTATACTTTGAATGTTTAGAGAAAAAAAAAAAAGTCTTCTGAAGTCAAACAGTTTCTGGAAGAACAGTGTGCTTTGGCAGGGGAGGAAGCTTGTAAGCAAAACCATAAAACTGTCAGCCTAATAGATCATCATTTCACTAAAGCAAACTGGGTCAGGTCTGAAACCCCCATCCCTTTCCTCCTTCCCAACTTTCTTTTTGAAAAA